AGCATCTCCACTATCATTCTGGCAAAACTGGGAAGAGAATAACCTTCTTTCTTTTGTTTAAAATGTACTGCTTTAATAAAGAGAGGAGAGACAAGTAACTTTTCTTTCTATTTATTTTCCAGCATTTGTATATCATAAGTGAGTTATTTTGTTCTTGAAATTACCATGATTGCAATAGCTCATTACACCTCACTCATTTATACAAAAAAGTCCTCGACTATATATATGTTAAGTAACAATGTAAGTAGATCCATCCATCCATCTGATAGATCGAGGATATTGAGTTTTTTGGGATAGCACTTCTTTGTTTTACTGGGCAATGCAGTGAAGAGCTTTAAATTTGGCATCTGTCACTTATGTGGGTCCAAATTATACCATGCTAAAAATACCATGAAGATACTGCAGGGAAATCACCAGTGGATTATGAGTGTGGTAAACTTCATATTACCATGAGCTTGTGCCAGAATATTAGAACTGTTAGCCAGATGCTTCCTGTAGACTTCCAGAGAGGCAGAATGTGGTGCCACTGGGATACAGAGGCCCTGATGTGAAGTATGCAGAAGATACATAAATCCTGGGGGTATTTTCATTTCATCTGGGCCCATGTGGCTCTGCCCACATCACCGTGGATCACCTGGGTCCACACCCGGACCCTCTCCCTTCTGCACTCTGCTGCCTTGGCGGTGCCGCTCAGCTAGACCAGGCCCTGCAGTGATTTCACACACTCCCCTAATAAAGTCCTCAGGGCTGTCATGTATTTTCATGTGTTTGCCCTATTATCCTTCCCTGCTTGAGTCTTACAGATAATGGATGATGCTTCAGTTAATCATCTTTCTGCCTCTTTTGTTCACCAGGTACCTCAGCCTTCAAGGGGCTCCTTTATTGAGGATCGATGTCTTCTCCTAGGTAATTGATCACCACACACCCAGGGACACTCGATTCATCGCTGAGGGAGGATAATCATCATGAATAATCAAAAAGCGGTCGGCGCACTGCTGCAAGAGTGCAAGCAAGTGCTGGACCAGCTCTTGCTGGAGACGCCAGATGTGTCGGAGGAGGACATGAGTGAGGACCAGCGGTGCAGAGGTGAGGTTCTGATGGGAGGCACCAGGGGTGAGCCAGCAGGTTCATTCTCCTCTGCCTTGCCTGAACCACACATTCTCATCTCTGCCCTATTTTTCTTCTCTTGGCAGATGACCACCGAGAGATGAGTGGATTTCTAGGGCATGAATGGGCCATGGGCTGCAGGAGGACAGGCAGGGGAGGAAGCCCACTTTGTTGCAGTGAATTGCTGTCAGTTCTAATTTTAGGCTTCAGTAAACATGAGGCTACAAGAAACAGTTTAGTTCAGGAAGAACAAAGGGTCCAACTTGGCTGGTGCACGTAAATTTCAATTATTAAAAAATTGAAGCAACTTCTGAATGGTGGCACATACTTTTTTCCAAACTAGGATTTTGTGCCTCATCAGTTTCCATAGATTTCTACAGTTTCCGTAAATATGTCATCTCACCAGTCCAATCTCTCTCTCTCTTTTCTTTTCTTTTTTTTTTTGATTGCCAATACATTCCTCACGTTATATTCACATGCCATTTGTAAAATAAATCCATTCTTCCTCATGAATACTGATGGCATCATTATTGTGGCTTCAGACTTTGGCGTTTGGCTCATTTTATAGTTTGTGCTATTCATAATGTAGGATAAGTCATTGTTTGGGACGCAAAGTCTAGAAAGCTAATTCTAACTTCTTATGCTAATTTAGAAGAGACAACAGTCTTTTTTTTAGATTACTTTTTAGCATGCATATACTTTTTTCCTCATTTCTATAATTATGTCTTTGACATGCTTTTAAGATTTTTCTTTGCATTTTTAGTACTTTGCTATTCCTTATGGAAATAAGAGTTCCAGATAAAATGCACATTCCTCATCTCTTCTGTTGGTGTTTAATACTTAATGGGACAAGGCTCTGGAGGAGTAACACCCCCAATTCTTGTATATAGGCACGTACATTTTTACAGGGGCACTTTTAGGTACCTATGGAATTCTTCATTATTTGTAACCTGTCATTTCTGAGCCTTTAAAATCCCCTATGTCCAGTCGTTTCACAACCCCAGTTCATGTGTCTTCTGTCTTTGCTGGCCAGGTACACCAATGTGTGACTTTGCTTGCTAGTTCTGTGGGCCTGTCAGCCCCATCAGGCTTGCTGATGTCAGAATGGCCAGCACTTGGCACCTACCTGGTAAGCTCTGCTGCTGGCCCTAGTCCTCCCCGGGGCAGTGTGCTGGGTTCTGTTGCTTCCACTGAGGTTTTTCTCGTCTTTCACTACATCGCGCCCTGTGTCTCTGCAGCCCCCAAATTCCTTTACGCTTTGTGTTCTCCCTAGTGAAGACTCAGCCCACAATTGAGTAGCATTTTCTTATTCTTTTTTCCCCAAGTGCCACAGAAGAGGGGAAATAATCAGTTCAGTTCCAGATAAGGCAAAGCAAGGCTGGAAAATCACTAGATTAGACACAGCCCTTCAGGTAAGCTGCTTGGGGAAGTGAGTGATCAGAGAGGCAGAGGGGGCCACTGCTGGGCACGCTGTGGGCTGGATCAGATAAGCCGAAGCGGGAGGACACGTCCTCCGCAGAACCCCTGACAAGCGAGGCATTAGCGGTCCCAGCAGTCCCCGCGGGGCTGCGCGTCCCCCGTGCGCTGCGCGGGCTGATTGGATGCGTTCCCAACGCCCTGCCCGGGGCTCAGCAGGTGGCGGGTCGCGCAGCCGATGTCGTCACCGCATGTGCTGCAGAGAAAGGCATTATAGTAGAGGGTCACTTAGGGCGGCAGGGCGGGCGGCAGACTCAGACTCGGGGGAACACAAACACTGGGTTTTTCATTCTTCGCTCTCCTGCTCTCAACCCCATCCTTTCCCCGCAGAAGTTGGCCTTGTTAGCCTGAGCGACTACCCCTAGCTACTTCCCCAGAGATGGAGACAGAGCTGAAATCTAAACAGAGATAACCCTGTAAACACGTGCAGTAGTGGCATCTTTAATTCAGTACGCCCCATGGGCATTCTGGCCTGACCCGAGTGGAAAGAAAGGGACGTGTGGACAGGGCAAAATGAGTTGTAAGGAATAGACTTTCTCCATCATTACGAAGATACTTAAAGTACTAAAACTACTAAGGTCCACTATAATCGAACTCTAGGAACCCTGAAATCACATTGCTGTTGTCATTTGATTACTCCTGTTCACTCGGAGATGGAGTGTCAAAGTAACTTATTAACCAAACTGGGACGTTTCTGAGAGTGAAAGGGAGCACTATTGATATGTTGAAAGTAAGCCAGTGGCAAAGAGAGGGTCAGGCCTTCCCACAGATTGTGACCCCGGAGCCCCTTGGTCCCTGGCTCTGCTCTCAGGGAGGAGCGCCATTCCACAGCAAAGGCTCCCCGACTGCTGAGTGGGGGGGGATAATTCCAGTGGGAGGTTGGTGTGTCATTCTTAGGAACTGATGCAGATTACTCCTTAGTGTGGCCCATAGGTTACTTCCTCAATGCCAAGCAGGTCTTCCTGCTGGTAACAAATTCCTAAAAAGGCAGATTTTCTTTCTTTTCTTCTGTTTGTTTTTCATTTTCTGTCATCTCCCTTTTGCTCTGTTTTGTGTGCCTCACATCAACATAAGATGGACCGTGTCTTCTAACCGCAATGGTCTTTCACCCATCATGGTGTTGTTTACAAAAGTGATGAGATGAGAAGATTGTCCTCAGGGAGCTCACAGTCTAGTGAGAGAGAGAGATGTAGTTACAGAGCAGTGGGGTGAAGGCTGAAAGGAGCATGCACTTATGGGTTTGGGAGCCCTCTGAAGGCACATCTCAATTCCACCATAAGGTCATGGCAGGCTGGCAAAAAGTGCCAATGTTTGCATTGAATGCTGAAGTCAGGGGCCAGAGTTTGATCACCAAGGCACTGGGGAAGGGCAATCTAAACAGCTAGAACAAGGTGTGCAAAAACATTAAAGAATTTTATTCAAGGCAATGGCCTGGTCTATCTTGTTTTTAGAAAAAAAAGAGGATCAACAATGTGGAAGATGGGGTAAAAGCAGGACAATGTCTATAGCTCAGTGGGTAGGGCACTGGCCACATGCACGAGGGCTGGTGGGTTCAATCCCAGCCCCAGTCTGCTAAAAAACAAAACAATAGCCAGGCGTTGTGGCAGGTGCGTGTCGTCCCAGCTATTCAGGAGGCTGAGGCAAGAGAGTCACTTGAGTCCAAGAGTTTGAGGTTGCTGTGAGCTGTGATGACACAGCACTCTACTGAGGGCAATAAAGTAAGACTGTCTCAATTTAAAAAAGAAAAACAAAAAGACTGAAAGCAGTAATTCAGGCTAATTACTGCAAAAGAAGAAGAGGAAATGGATTTTAGAAGATCCAGGATTTAATAGCCAATCAGATTTAGGGGGAGACTGACTCCTGGGTTTCAGATTTGGGTAACTCCGTGAGGTGGTTTCATTTATCAAAATATAGAATATAAGAGAAATCAGATATAGAGAAAGGTAATGAGTTTAATTGTGCTATGTTAAGCATGAGATGCCTACAAAACAACTTCCTGGAGATTTATAGCAGGCAGTCACATACATTGGTCTACATCCCTTACTGAGAACCCTGGGTAACATGTACTTCAGAATTCAGAATTTTACCAATGTTCAGAAGGTCTTACAATACATATTGTGTTGCATTCATATTCCAGCTGAAGGTGGGGTAGTACCTGTAGTCAAACATTAAATTCCCTTTTTTTTTTTTTGGCCTGGGGCCAGGTTTGAACCCGCCACCTCTGGGGTATGGGGCTGGCGCCCTACTCCTTGAGCCACAGGCACTGCCCGAACATCAAAATCCTTTTGCAGCAAAACTTTTGTGTAATCTCGTTAAGTCCTTAAAAAGACCATGAAAGTCTAGTTTAGGTATCAAACTTTAAAAAAAAAAATAATTCCAGTTTCCAGAGCTTTTTCATTTCTGAAATTTATTTAAGAGATTGTGTACCAGTATAAGTTGGTGTGACGGCCATTAAGAAATTGAACACAGAGAGTGTCAAAAACTGTATACACATTTTAAGAAAGGAAAAACGATATAAATGTGTAATACTAAAGTCATGTTTGTAATTTCTGCAATTACACGAGGTGTTCAATGTGACTCATATTCATCTTTTATTATCATTATACATTGAGTATTAAAATTTCTCTTTTTCTTTTTTTTTTTTTTGAGACAGAGTCTTACTTTGTCACCCTCGGTAGAGTGCCAGGGCATCATAGCTCACAGTAACCTCAGACTCTTGGGCTCATGCAACTCTCTTGCCTCAGCCTCCTGAGTAGCTAGGACTACAGGCACCTGCCTCAATGCCCCGCTATTTTTTACTTTTTTAAACTGAGTCTCTCTCTAGCTCAGGCTGGTCTTGAACTCATGTGCTCAGGCGATCGGCCTCCCAGAGTGCTGGAATTACAGGCATGAGCCACCTTGCTCGGCCTTAAAATTTCAATACAATTTTTTTTCCTTCTTAAAATGTATATACATTTTTGGGCCCCCTCTGTTAATGTGAAACAAGGCCACTTCTCAATAATTATTTCACACTATTTCAAATTTCATATGTGTTTTTCATTATTTGTTGTCTGAATTCCAATGTAGTCCATAGTGAAAGGATAAACTAAAAGGAAGTTTTAAAGAAAGAAAAAGTTGACTTTCTGCATTGCCAGCTGCCACAAACCCCAGATGCCATTCCAGTCTTGTTCCTTTCTCATTTTACAGGGAAAATAATATTTCCTTCATTCCATTCTCTTATTCTTCATGCTGAGATAGTCACTGAAGTGCTTTTACTTCCTGCTAAAACCCTTTCTTAATGCCTGACTACCCCAACTTACCTGTAGGGCAAAATAGACCAGGGCCACCCCTGACAGATAGCACCTCACCATTATTCTAAGTCAGAACCAACAACAGCTTAGACCAGCCAGCCAAGGGGAGGGAAAAGTTTTTCTGTTTGGGTTTCTTTTTTCTTTGCCACTGAGGTGCTTCATCATAACACTGGTAGCTCAACAACCTCTTCTTAACTGCAATTTCCTTACCTGAACTCTGACCTTTTCAGCTTCACTCCCCAGCGAGTTAAGGACCCTGATCGAGGAGGCAAAGGAAATGAAGTGGCCCTTTGTGCCTGAAAAGTGGCAGTACAAACAAGCCGTGGGCCCAGAGGACAAAACAAACCTGCAGGATGTGATTGGCGCCGGGCTGCAGCAGTTACTGGTAGGGAGAGCCACACCACCTGTTCCTCTGACATTTCCGAGTGAGGCATTGCAACTCTAAGTGAGCTAATAGATTAAATTTCTTTGAAGCACAAGACAGCCCCCTACCCTTTTGGTCAGCTCTGCCAGATTGACGAATGTCAGGGAAATACCTTTTGGGAAAGCATTTGCTTGCCCTTAAGATGTTGTGTGGGAGGCCAAATCTAGTAAAAGTGAAGAGGGGTGGTCAGTGGGTCTAGTGGGAAACCTGCCAGCCTGAAATACTAATGTATCCCTTCTGGGCCAGAGAAGTAGTTTTCATTTCACCATGCCTCACGACATTTATAGTTTGAAATGCTAATTTTGAAAAGTTAAGTAGCTTTAAAAAATGAATTCATTGCTGTGGCTCAAAGGAGTAGGGCGCAGGCCCCATATGCTGGAGATGACGGGCTCAAACCTAGCCCCCAGCCAAAAACTGCAAAAATTGCAAAAAAAAAAAAAAAACAAATTCATCATTGTTTCATTAGTGTGACTTGCTGTGTAAGCTATTAACGTCTGGCATGTCCCTTCCCAGGGCCCCACCTTGGGTCCTGGTCACTTCCTTTTCTCCTCATGATAAAGGCTCTTTAAGAAGCATCAAGTCAAAGTCACTGACATTCTTCTTCCTCTGCTCATTTGTTGTAAGTTTAGCCAACTGGTACCTCTGTCCCACATAGGAGAGAACCTCAAGAGTAGCACAGGAACTCGGCCTAGAGCTCAGGACTCAGGCTTAGGGTCTAAAGAAGTTACGGAAAGCACCATATTCCTTTTTAGTCACATTGCTTTTCCCTACATTCTTTCAGATGGTCAAGGAAGAAAGTCTATTAGCTCATATGCATTTTTTCTCACATAAAAAAATGTATATGTCTAGAGATTAGGCATTAGAAGCAATAACAATATTCTAAAAATTTGACTTTATTGGTTTAGATAGGATTGTATTTGGGGAGCATAGCAAAATAAATATATAGACATTATCTTTGTCTATTGAAGCAAAATCTAGGAGAGATCCCCTGACCTACAGACAGACAACAGCATCTTTAGAGAAACAGTAAAAGCTCTACCTCTCTCACCCTCCCCCAAACAAAACACATTAAGCAGACCAGGAATTGCAGGCAAATGAAAATGAATACTTGGAAAGAATGCTGAGCCAGGGGGTTTAAATAAATGTAGTGGGTATTCCTGGAGAAATAGAACAGTGTAACAGCTATCATTTGTATCTCACTGTAGAGTTTACAGAGAACTTGCAGTGCATCATCTCATTTAATTCTCAAAATAGCCCCATAGTGATTTAGATCCTCTTCCACTTACAATAAGGTTGTGTCCCAATAAACCCATTTTCAGTTGAAAATCCTAAGTCAAAAATGAATTAATGCGCCTGACCTACCAAACATCATAGCTTAGCCCAGCTTAACTGAAATGTGCTCAGAACACTTACCTTATTGTACAGGTGGGCAAACTCATCTACCACAAAGCCTATGACCTAATAAAGCATTGACTAGTTCATATAACTTATTAAACATTGTACTGAAAGTAAGAAGCAGAACAGTTGTGTGGTACTAAAATGTGTATCTCTCTCACACCATCGTAAAGTCAACAGTGGTTAAGTCAAACCGTCTTGACTTGGGGGCCATCTGCATTACCATTGTCATCCCTGTGTCCTGAATGAAGAAATTAAGAACAGACCAGTAAGTAGTGGAGCTGTGACTGTGACGTAAAGCCTTCTCCTCCGTCTACTTAACTCTAGTTCTCTATGAGGAAGCTCCAGTGAAAAACTTGAAGGAGCAGGTAGAAGCTCTAAGACTTATTTGCCCTAACACAACCTGCAGAATGACCAGTAGAATTTTCTGCAGTAATGGAAGCATTCTACATCACCTATCCAATATGGTAGCCACTAGCTACATAAGGCTCTTAAACACTTGAAATGTGGTTAGTGTGACTGAAGAATTAAATGCTTAGTTTTATTTATTTTTAAATTCATTTCTATGTAAGTATCTATAGGTGGGTAGGGCTTGCATTTTATTGGACAGTGCAGCTCTAAAGGCCTTGTCATTAAAATGAGACCTCTGACAATGGCATCAAGATCATCTGGACAGTGGTAGGAAATCCAAATTCTTAGAGCCTGGTCAAAAACCCTGGGGGTGGGGGTCCAATGATCAGCATTAGACAGGCCTTCCAGATGATTATTGGACCTGCCAAAGTTTGAGAATGACTGCTCCAAAAAGAACAAGGTGTCAAGGGCGGGGGAAAGGCAGAGACCTGACTGACGGGGGTGTGAGTGGAGAGGAGAGAGGCAAAGAGTAAAGGAGAACCTGGTGTGAAGGTTGTAGGAAACCAGCCAGAAAAGAAATCTATTTTCGTCTATTTTGGGAACTGTTGTATAGGATGGGAACAGCCCTGAAGGAGCCAATGGCCACTCCACCCGCTTGGATATCCCTTGTGTGGTTAGGAGAGGGGCATGTAAGAACCTTACAACCCTTCTAAGGACGGTGAAAGGAACGGCCTCTCACAGGCAGTGACTCCCACCTTGACCTTTGGGCTTAGCAAAGTTTCTCTGACTTTTGAACACAGCCTGAGAGCCTGAAATGCATCACGTCCCTGTAACCTGGGCTCCGCTTCTCTTGTCCCATCCTGTAGTCGCCAGACCCCCTCTCCCTGCATTCAAAGCTAGTAGTGACATCAGCTGAAAAACCCGGAGATGATGTTTTTAAAAACTCAAGTCTTGCTGCATTTGGGGGTTAATGTGAGTTGGGAGATGAGCTGCTCATAGTTGTTAGACTGTTCTGAGAGTCTTCTCACATTCTTCCTGTCATCCCTCACTATATAGTGCACAGATTTCACAACTGGGGAAATAGAGATACAGATAATTTAAGAAGTTGGTGTTCAGATCACAAGGTCACTCACAGGCAGCTCTAAGCAGCAGTCCATTCATCCTTTAGTCTCCGATGTATGTATCTGGGAGCTTTTTGAACTCTGAGCATCATTTTCTTCAGCTTACCCGGCAAGCTATAAATTAAGTGACCACACCCCCTAAGGACTTTTAGGATGCTCCCCTATTGTGCCAGACCCCAAGTGCACAATTGCCGAACCACTCTGTTTTGTAAATACAGAGAACTAAAGCACCCTGTGAGCCAGGCTCTCCCCAACTCCCTCATTACTTTTGATGTCTTGGCTTGTTAAAAGTAGCTCCAGGAAATTCACGACTCATTTTGGTTCCATTATGCCATCAGCTTCAATATTGGACTTTACTGAAGCTGGGTAGTCACAGTCAGCAACCAAATAATTGTGAGATTTTGTTCATACCTCTGAAATGGTTAAAGGCTACTGAGTTTGTCTTTTCAGTTCCTATGTTTTCTTACAGTTTGTTTATAAATAGGAGCTTTCTAGGATTGTTTTTTACCTTGCAATGAATCCTTCCTGTAAAATGTTTCCCCTCCATTTTTTAAAACTAGCATTCTGCTTAGAGCATGCACACTATGTCCTTAATTCAAGTAACAGATTAAAGTGAAGCACACAATGCTTAAGAAAAAACTAAGTCCATAGTTTTTCCCACAGTTGAGGAGTTAGTCAAATCAAGGGCCATTTATAATGTTACTCTTCTTAGGCTTAAGAAAAATTCTCTGTGTTTTGTGCTTTGCTTTCTGGTCTCCTCTGCGTCCCCATTCCCCCCCGCCCCTCTCTTCTTTCTTCCTCCCCCACTCTCCAATCCCTTTTCCTTTGGTGTGTGGCCACAGACAGAAATTTATGACAGGGGCCAACCTCCTTTACACTCCACACAAAGCTTGCTGACTTGAGAGAGTTTGTCCGCTCTCTCCCAGAAAAAACACCTGCAGCACGCTCCCCGAGAAACCTGGAGAGAGATGGGAGATTAATGTGGCTGTAATAGCTGGGCAGTGTTTTTGGTATTATGCCCTCTCCCCAGGTAGATGGGTCTTTTCCGAGATGATACCAATTATTTATTGCTGAAACATCTGTTGATAACTGCAGCTGCCCTTGTAAAACAAAGCATATCACGGGGTCACAGGCTATGGGGGCCTAAAACCCTACCTCATGCTAGTTTCAGTCTATTCAGTAACACCCTCAAGTCCATGGGTTACCATCATCTTTAATGTCTCATCATGCCATAGAAAATACTTTGTAAACACTGCATTACCCGGCCCTACAGGCTTTGAAGTATTATTTCATCTTCATCGGTAATTTATATTCCAGGGCCATTGTACTGTGGGAAAAAGAGGGGGAACCTTTTTTGTTTTCCATTTAATTGTATATCGCCTGACACTTTGACCTGTATTATTAGTATTAGTCAGAAAAAGGATTTTCTCCCTCTCTTATTTGAAAATAAAATTTCAAGGGAAAGTAAGCGCTCCTTCAGCTCTTTTCACTCAAAACAATGTTTACACTCTGAGAGGGGAAGATGAAAAGCATGAGCAACTTTTTTCAAGTGTCGGAGAAGGGCATTTCAGTTTTTGAAAGAGAACAGTAAGGCCCTTATAAATATCATTCAGCAAAACCTTTGATGGATTTTTCAGAAAGTATTGAAGGCATTTAGCGTTGGCCGTCTGTTTAGCTGGGCTTGGGGCTATAGCAGTGGAGCGCTAACCAGTGAAACCCTCCAGCACTCACTCACTGGTTTCTGATATGCCAAGGAATGTCTCAATGTAGATGCCACCTTTGGGAATTTTTTCAGTAACTTTCACGCTTCTCAACAACAACAAAAAATCTGCATTATGAGAAAGAAACTATGAAAATGAAATTTTTGAAAACGAAATCCCAGGGCCTGTTTAGGTTTGCCTGTGTATGCAAATAGGAGCAGCGTGGGCTGCGCGGCAAAGAATTGTTTGACAGACCCTGAGTTTGAATACTCCCTGCCTGGGTTTGGGGTTGCCAGCGCTGGTGGGACCTGATCTCCCTGGCCCTGCTTCTGTTCGGGGAAAGTGCCTGCTCGAGGTCCACCCTGAATTTTTTGTGGTGCCTCCTCAGGACAAT